AAACTATAGATAAATGTGCTTCACGACTATTTTCATTTATGGCTGATCCCGGTATTTTTATCTCGTTTTTTATAAATTAAAAATCCAGTAATAATCAATGATACGACTAAAATAATTCCACCAATACCGGTTCCAATATATAATTTATCATTATTTGACTATTATTTTATTGAGTAATAATTATTGGCTGGCTTAAAAGTATGTTTTGATTTCTAGAAGTATAATTTAGTGTGTCAAGAATATATATATTATTAGTGTATTGTTTTGTTCTTGTCTGACCTGAATTTGTCAAAAATTAAATAAATTTAATAGATATTACTTTGCTAGAAATCAACATTAAAGTAATTACCAAATTAGGGATGTTATTGATTTGGATAGCTTGGCTTAAAGAAGCCATAGCCAAACTGTAACTAAGCCATGGTTCAAGCCATTATCTACAATTAAAATTAAAACCAATAATTATTTTTTTTCATAATTTATAATTTTGGTTTAGGTTATAGCTTTAGGCTATTGGCTTGGCTCAATTTTAGCTTAGCATTAAATTGTAACTAAAACTGTCTTCAAATGAAGCCCTATACCAAATTCAATAATCATATAATTTTTATAAAGTGCAGCAGAATGACCCGTGTGTATGGAGGAACATTTATTTCGAAAACACTTGGAATAGACTATATCCAAGTATTTGTATTTAATACTGCGATATTTGAAAATATATGATTAAAATCTCTACTATTTCTCGTTCCAATTCCATATAAAATAATATTCAGTTCTGGAAGTCAAAATCTAGTGGAATTTACAGATAAGGGCCCAAAAATAAAATTAATTACAAATAAGGGCCCAAAATAAAAAATAATTACAGATAGAGAACAGCAAAAAACGTCGGTGCTACACAACTTATCCTTCACCCGGTGTGTAACATATAAATAAATTATTTTACAATACCAGATTATTCCGCTATTATGTACATGTTATGGCTATAATCCAACACCTTTTATCGTATAAAATGGTGTTGGATTATAACCATAACATGTACTAGCGGAATAATCTGGTATTATAAAATAATTTTTTTATATGTTACACACCGGATGAAGGATCAGTTGTGTAACACTGACGTTTCCTCCTGTTCAGATAGAGGCCTGATATTTGAAAATTATTACAAATAAGATAATTATATGCTTAAAAAACCTATGATTTAGCCCCGTTTCGACAATTTGAATATGATCGTAATATAATCATTGATTGTTAATGCATAAGAAATGTAATAATAATCAATTAGTAATTCGAATATAGGAAAATGTTCATTCGACCTTGAACAGTTATTCTGTTGAATTTTAAGTTTAGAACAAACCAATCAAGTAACTGTTATTCTGTTGAATTTTAAGTTAAGAACAAACCAATCAAGTAACTGTTATTCTGTTGAATCCTAAGTTAAGAATGAACAAACCAAGTAAGCTGTTGATTGTTTGTTTTACAAATGAAACCAGTTTATGGCCTTTACTATTTCAGCTAACAAGCGTAAAGATGATCCAACTTGTCAACTTTTATGAATACATTCAAAGCACAGATATAGCAATACTTCGACCTTGTGATATTGAAAATTGTGTTCGTTCTAAAAGTAGGACCGAGACACCATACAAGGTGCTTGGAGAAGTAAACACTTTAAAGCTAAATTTTCATTTTGCATCACATGGACTTCAAAAATCCGGTCATTCGGTTGGAAATTTTTTTTTTTTTTTTTTACAACCAAACCCTCTGTAATCACTCCCTTGGTTTCAAGAATTTGTGCCTATATAAAGGTTAAATTTTATATGCAATATATGAGTTGTTTTTAAAAGTTTGTGATTATAAGCAAATGAGATTATAGAGGAAGCGACTATAGAGAGGTCTGGTTGTAATTCTAAATAATGAACGATAACTCTAAAACATCTATTTAATCACGAAATAAGATAATTAATCATGATACCATTACGATTAAATTGACTAGCAATTTTGACGACATATTTGGGCCCTTATTTGTAATAATTTTCAAATATCGGGCCTTTATCTGTAATTATTTTCATTTTGGCCTCTTAATTGTAATTATTTTCATTTTGGAGCCCTTATTTGTAAATTCCCAAAACTAAACAATGTTTAGCAGTCTAATCATAATGAAAAAATTAGGGTAAAAAATTAACAATAAGGATAATAATTTATTATATACATTACTTTAGTAGACCAAGTGTATCAAATATTTAAATCTACATTTGGTATTAAGTGAAGGTAGAGTTTTAATTATTTAACCAATTATACCTGGTTAATATCGATAAGGTTTAAAAACTGAACCATCACATTCACAATGCAAATAATAGTATAGAACCATTTAAATTTGGTTCCGTTTCAATAACACCTGACTATTATACCAGGTTTCTTTTGATTATTATACCAAATGATTATCATAACATTACTTTATAATAGTGTTGGGATCTAGATGGTCATCCATCAGATATCCGGATAAGATATCCGTTGATAAATATCTGCTCAAAAATGGCCATCCGAATTATAGTTGGTGGAAGAATTACGGCATTCTACCATGTTGTAGTATTAATTTTACCACATTACCTAATTGCCGTAAATATTATACGCCAAGTACCCTAGCCATGGCGAAAACGAAGTGTCGGATCATGTGATTTCCGACGCTCTGAATGATCACCCACCAATCAAAATCCAGGATCTGGTGTAAGATCATAAGACTAATATTAAAAAATAATCAAAATCTCTAAAAAATAGTTTAAAATCATTTCAATTTCTTTAAATCAAAAAGAGATTTAATCATTTTAAAAAGTAGAATCTTATAACTAGAGATGGGTATTGCGCATTATGTACATTACAATATGCAAAAAATATGTTGTATAATGTAATGTAAACATTTTAAAATTTAAAAGTGCACATAAAAATTACTATATAATTTTAATTTTAATATAACAAAAATTAATAAATATTATATCTTATATTATATTTAATACTAAATAATATGTAGCATTAGTTAGTAACTTTTCATCTATATAAAATCAATTAATTATTTAAATTTGAAATATTATAAATAGTAATTTCAGTTAAAGGATAGGAAAAATTGAATATATTGAATATGAAACTTGTTTTTTAATTTGCAAGATACTATAAATGCATAATATCACATGCAACATTATGCTGCATTATGCAATGCAGAGTCAAAAAATATGTATTTGCACATCTCTACCTATAATTAATAATGCCTGATAAAATTATTTTCATGATGATAAATGGTTTCATCATGGTTTCATTTAATGAAACTATTAGTAATTGATGAAACTCTTAATGATTAGCAAAACCTTTGATGATTGATGAAACTTTTGATGATTGACAAAACCTTTAATGATTGGCAAAATCTTAATGATTAATGAAATTATTGATGAAACCTTATAACTAAAGAATTTTTTGCTGAAACCCTATTAATTAATGAAGTCTTAATAAGCTTTTCTCTAATGATCTTTAGATATTCAAACTTTAAAATTTTTCAGATGTTAATTTATAAAATTTATTAGTTTTATGCAAAAACTTAGTAATTTTATAACTAATAATATAAAACTATTTCAAATTAGTAAGATGTTTTATTTATATCAAATGCTTATAAGACTTAAGTTATTAATTACTGTTAATAAATAGTGAAAATATGATAATTAGTAAAATTATTAACAAAAATACTATACAAAAAATAATATATTTTAGGTTAAAGCAAACTTTATGACTTGCAGTATGTTTTATTTTATAACATTAATTTTATCTAATACATTTTTGGTATTTAATTATTTTTTTGGTATTTTACTATTTTTTTGATATTTGCTATTTCTCTAGAAATATTAAGTATAAATTTTAATTAGTAAAGTTTTAAACTTAATTTTATTATTTTTATATTGTTTAAGATACCAATTTCAAATAACATTTCATATTCTTACCTACTAAAAAATAGATATATAACTGTTAAAATTAAAATTATAATTTACTACACTTGTTTAATTATAAGTCTGATTGGGTCAGTTCACAAAAATGTAGGATAAGGATTTATCTATCTATATACCTAGTAATAGAACAATTAGTTTATATTACTATTATTTTCATAGTTCTATTTGTTTATCAAATCTGCTACTAAATTCTCAAGATCAAAATCAAATACTCCTTGTCCTACTTTGTTACTAACCAACAACTCATTCAACTTATTATTATTAAACTTATTAGCAATATTATTTCATAGTTCTTTACTATTAATATTAAATTCATCATCTTGAAATATTTTATCACTTAACTATACTATGTTTTAAATATTAAAACATTTAATAATCTCTAAATTATTATATTCAATCTCTTTTATTTCAGAATCTTTAATAACAGCTTTATCTATTTCATCATCTTTAACTAAAAAAGTTGTTAATGTTATTTGTTCTTGTAACTTATTGAATATTAATTTTTTGCTAAAAAAAACAAGTTCTTTTTTTATGTTTGAAAGATAATAGAACTGAACTTGAGCTATAATATAAATTCAAAATTAAAAGAGTTATTGTTATTATTTTTATACAACTAGACTTAGGTTGTTCTCAAGTCCCTTAGTTAATTTGTCAGAATTGATCAGAGAGCAAATTTTAATTAATAAAAAAAATAGTTTAATGAATTGATTGTATTAATTATTTTAATAAATAAATTACATAATAAAAGTCTAATATATCAAAGAGAAAATTTTCATTAGTGCAAGATCATTTAACCAATCAAAAGCATTTATCATTCCAATCAACAAGAGATAGAGGCCCAGACATTTTTTTTTTCACAGAGTTGCTCTTATTGGTCAAAATTTACATTGATTTATTAGAAAAAACATTTGTTTAAGTATTTTTCTCTTTACATTATGGATCTTTAAGATCATTATCAATGTAAATGAATTATTGCCTTATTGCTTATGCTAAAAATAGCTGCAAATCAAACAAGGCAGGAAAATGAAACAACAAGAATGGCTAATCTTTACTGTCTTCTGTCTTTTACTTCTAGGACAATAAATACAACTATTTTATTTGTCTTTTCCTTATCTGATATAAGAGCTTAATATCAGCAAAGACCTAAAACTGATGGCTTTTGGGTTGATGTGTTTCTATATTTAAATAATAAAGGAGAATATAATTCTTTTTAAAGACATTTTCATATTACTTTAGCAACATTTAATTCTTTTGTATCACATTTGGAAATTCATCTAGCTTTTTCATCTGATGCTTCTAATGCAACACCTGTTTGGAAACAGATTGCTATTGTATTATAGTGATTAGCCAATAATACAAGAGTGTGAATATTAGAACAAACACTTGATACAAGTCAGGGATCAGTATGTCATTTTACAGACAGATTTCTTGAAGCATTATTAAATTTGGAAAGAGATTGTATAAAATGGCTACAAGGTACACAATTAGTAACAGTAATACATAGATTTGAGTATAATGAAACAGGTTTAAAAAATCAAAAATTGCCTAATGTAATTGGAGCTATGGATGAAACACATATTCTGATTCATTGACCTTCTAAAAATGGAATTCAGTTTATTAACTGTAAAAATTTTTACTCTTTTAATCTTCTTGGTGTTGTTGATCATCAGAGACATTTTATTTTTATATATGTTGAAGAGGCAGATTAGTTAATAATTTATTTTTTGCATATATATAGTTAGATTATATTAATATTTTTTTGTTTCTTTTTTTTTTGTAAAAGGAGTGTGTATGATGCTTGAGTATTTAATCAATTTTCTCTTTATTATAAGATTTCTTTACATTCTGAACAGTGGGTTCCAGGCAGAACTTATATTATTGCTGATGCAGCTTATCCTATTAAAACATATTTAATAAAAGCTTTTTCTGATTATGAAACTTTAACTTATAGAGAGTGTCATTTTAATAAAGTTTTTTCATCAATGAGGATGATTATTAAACAGGCATTTAGAATATTGAAAGGACATTGGAGAATTTTATTGAATAAAATTTATTGTACAGATTTAGAGTAAATTATTAAAATTATTCATGCATGTTATATTTTACATAACTTATATATATATTGAGAGGATATATTATTTTTAGAAGAAATTGAAATAGAAGAAAATCAAGATAATAATAATAATAATGAATTGGAAGAAAATTTTATATTAAATAAAGGATGAGAAAAAAATGCAGTGATTCAGAAAAGAGATTTTCTTGCAAATATTCTTATAAATATTTAATTAAATATTCTTATAATCATATTGAAAAAATGATTACATAACATTAAAATTAAGTTAAAATTAAACAATTTGCTTATAAATACTTTAATATATATTTAGCAAATGTGATATGTATGCAATTTTTATTTAAGCATTATTACATATTTGTGTAGTACATATATATATTTTAATTTATTTTTAGAATTTTATTAAAATTGTCTAAAAATATCCATCTGTTTAGCATGTTGCTTTTGCTGAATTTCCAAAGTATACTGATCTTTAATCATTTTGATAATTGTTTCAGTTTGCTCTTTAATAAAAATTCTAAAATTTTCAATATTAGTTTTTTCATTATCATATAAACATTTTTTTTTTTAGGTCGAACCTATAATTATAATTATATATTTTAAATTAAATTAGATAAAAAATATAAAATAAACTAATAACTTACTTCATCTTTTTGATTATTTTGCTTATGCTTTATTCCATTAATAGAATCACTTGTTACTAGTATAATAATGCTTGAATCATTTTTTAAAATTTCTTCCATGTCATTAAAGAACTTTCATTCTGTTTGAATTGCTTCTTTACCTGTATTTATAATTGTATCCTTGATACTATGATATATTGATATAGTGATTCCCATTTTTGTTGAATAGATGTTTTGGTACAACCTTTTAAAACCACACTTGCAACTGTAGATTCTTGTAGATTTGCAATAATTTTATCTCAGATTTATCTTTTTGTCTTGGATCTCTAATTTGTTGCAATGCCTATTGATTTTTTCCTACTTCTTTAATATGAAACAAGTTTCTGATAAAGTCCACATATTAGATAGCTTATTAATAGAAGAGATACTAGTAATTGTATTGGCATTATAAGAATTAGGCACATTGGTATTTGCAGATCCAGATTCTAAAATTGGTAAGGAATTTTCTTGACTACAATTATTATTGGGCAATTGTAAAAGTAAAATCTAACTAATATAATATAATATTTTATTAATATTATGTAAAAAGTATAAAGTATAAATGCATTTTAAAAATTATTTATATGCATTACTTTATCATATTTACTATCTAATTTATTAGTTGCTATGGAATTTAGAAAAAGTTGGGTTGAATGGTTTGATTATAGTAATATATGAAAGTTCATAAGATTTAAAAAAGAAGAAATAGAAATTAAAATTACTAAAGTTGATGTTTTATTTTTTAGTTAGTTTGTAATATTATCTGAAAAAGAAATTGAACTTGGAATTATCATAGATAGTGTTTTATCTTTCTGTTGATTTATTGTTTTCACTTTTTTGTTTCAATTTTATAAAAATATAATAATTATTAAATAATAATAATGACAAAAGTGTTTGTTTAAGCATCAATTTCAATTAATATTCTATTTATTGTAATACTTAAGCATTAATATGATCATAAATTAATCACAATAAGATAGATATGTAAGCATATTTCAATCATATGATCATTCATCTTATTAGTTCTCAATATCCATACTATCGGTTTTCAAAAATAGTCTAATTAATAATGCCATAGTGTTGTGCACTATTATGATCACTAGCTAGTTACATTGAATATGCAGCTTGAGAACACCCTTATGATAAAAAGGTTCTTTCACAAACAGCAGAATAAGGTGTAATTAAGAAGAACTTAATTGCAAGTTGTCTAATAAACTTAGAACCTGTATAATTAGTCATCTACTATAGCAAAAAAGTATCAGTTTTAAAACAATAAGACAGGTAAAATCCATTTTTTTCATAAAATAATTATATATAAGTTATAAAATTTGCATATTCATATTGGTTATGTTCTTTTTGTCATATTTTGATTGTAGTTTTTACAATTGAATGAAATTGTTATTTATATAATCTAGCACTTAACAAAAAATTATATTAATAATCTATATTTAATTATTAAAAATTTTAAATTGCAATATACTACTATTGCCCAGATGAAGAAAAATACTAGCAAGTAATTGTTAGTATTAAAATTCTTCTATCTTTTATTAAAAATTTGTATATAATAATTTTTAAACCCTTTAATTCATAAACTTGAAACTTTGTTAATAGTAGCTGCTATTTGAATAAGTTGCAAAAACAGTTTGCTAAAGTTGTTGATCATGTTTCCAAATTTGTAATTGCTGTTCAAATAGAAGATAAGATCTTAATTAAAACTTTAAGATCTGAAAAAAATAAGGTTGTTTTAAAATTTGTTTTATAGTTCAACTTGTAATTAAGTCTGAATTATCATTCATAATCTATAAATTAATATGTATTATTTATTATATATATATTGTTAGACCCAAAATCTGTAATCTATAAGTAGCTAATTTTATTATAAAACTTTGCTGTTTAACCTCAAGTTATGCCTTTTCAGAATATGAAGATCTTCTGCTATATTTGGGATAACCATGCATATAATGATTATAATGTATATATTGCATATATTAATTATAATTATTATATATGATATAAGCATTATAATCATTATAATAGAGATAATGATTATTGGCATTCTAAAAATAAATAGAGAATTACTTATAAATAAGATGTAGTTTTATCCAAATAATAAAGCAGATTTTCCTTATCTAAAATAATTTGTATGAAAGGTTTGTCTATAAGTAACTATAGATAACTATTGTTAAAGAATAAACCTAACCTGTGATAGTAGTAAATTCCAACCCAATTGTTAGTAATTTCTAACCTAATTGTTAGTAATTTTCAACATAATAAGAAATACTGCACTGTTAGAAGAATTAGAGTGATAGTCTCGATGTAGTGTAGACTATTTAGGATAAGCCAGGCCCAAATCGAAATTACTTACCAAATCTATATGTCTTTTTTGACTGAAAGCTGTTCTAATGTTATACAAAGCTAACCTTCAATTAGTGATAGACTCACCAAATTAAGACCTTCAATATATATAGAATACTATTTAATAAAAGAAAATTTTACAATTTATACATAATATGTTTATATGGACATTAATTAATAATTTGCAATAGAGAATAGCAATTTTAGTATAGTAGTTGGATTGTTATCCTTCAAGTAGCAGGTCTAAGGTTCAAATTCTACTTATGATGAAATTTAGAAATTATATCTGCATTATGATAACTGTTTTCTGTCGATTAGTTGGCCTCATCTGGCTGTAATTCAGGCACACCAAGTAGGGTTCTACTGACATTGGGAGCTCAGAGAATCTATACAAAATGTAATGTTATATGTACATAGAGGAATATATAACCAGTGTTGTATAAGACTTCAGTACAAACTCATGATAAAACCACTGGTCATAGAAGACTAAAGAACTGAGGTGACAGAAACCTACTTAGAAATTTCCAAGTAAAGAAGTAGCATAAACTTTTAACAATATCATTAAACTGGTTGAAACCTATAAAACACCTTCATAAGATCTGAAGCTTAAACTGGATATTAAATATATGTAAAGGAGCATATAACCAATCCGGCTGCCAGATTTGCTAAAAGAAAAAGATACAAAAGTATACTATACTAGGCTATCTGGATTAGTAGTCTAAAAGATATTGCCAGTTCTGAGTTGTAGCTAGTAGAAGATGATGATGAAAATACTAAAAAGATAGGTACTAGGGTTTTAGTGAACTTTACAAAGATAGAAATAGTGTAATATAGCAGTTAAACAGGTAACTCCTATGACTACAAATATTAAGTAACTATAACATTTTGTATAAAAACTATGTCTATATGTATGAAACATAAAGGCTTTAGTAAGTTTCCTATCAAAAATAAAGTAGTCCTAAAAGTAATGATCAGTATCAGAAACTTGGATGGATGTAGTCTTAAGATTTTCTTATGATACAAGAAGAATTGCATATACAGAAGGTTTAAATAGACAAGACTTCTAGTTGGCTTGCAGGTATGACAACTAGTATAGAATTATATAGCAATATGTAAGCAAACTACTTAAATTAGGCATCAAAATTGTATGTGTGGCTAGTTGTAACCTCTAATATATAGGTAGCCTCTGGAGGCATGTTGTATTCTATAATACTTGAATAAAAATATCACATTCCCAAGACAGAGACTTTAAAAAAAAAATAAAAAAAAAATAAATAATTTGTAATATACAGATTAAACTAATTTTTATATATAAATTTATTCTGTTTAGCATTAGAGTAAAGTTAGTTGTAGAATATAAAAAAGACATAATTGGTATTAAAATTTTATAAGAATTCTTTTTTTTTTTTATGAAGTATCTTTTATGTTAAAACTTAAAAGTAAGCTTATCATTAAATTTTTGAGAAATAAAAACATCCATGTATATATATATAGTATACAAATA